GCCAAGGACCCATCACCCAACAAGTATGTAGAAGAAGAAAGTAGAAATTGATTGGATTGGACGTAGACTGAGGAGGAAGTTTGCGGACATCATCCATCAGGCCAAGCCAAGAGCTCGAGTGGAACGCAGATGGAAAACGACGAGCTCGGCGTTCGAGGCAAGTGTGACATGGAGGAGATGGTGTGCGGAAGAAATGAAATTTTGTGTGCAGTGGTGGAGCCAGGTTGTAAAGACTAGAGAGAAGAGAGTGAGATGGCGACGAGCTTGAGAAGCGCTTTGTTCCACTAGGAACCTAAGGGACAAATAATGGTAATATTAATAAGGATAATAATAGAGAAAGAGAGGGGGATGATTGAGAGAGGTCAAATTCTTACGATCCACTCACTCTGACCAACTGACTTCCATGGATATGAACAGTTCAGCTCTCTCTTTCCATCTCTTTCTGATCTGAGTTTTTCCACACTTATCACCGATGTGTTGAGCCATGATTGTGGGAAATTGCGCTCTCGTGTTTGCATCAGTGTGACCTGTCTTACAAAATCTACAGATCAGTGTGAATGATTTCTAACTACTTATGCTTTTCAGTAGTATATCATGTCATTTAGTCTACATTAACTAGATATCTTATCTGTTTCCAAGTCATACAAAAAGGAATTTTCCCTCACTTAATAATTAAATCTAATCAGTAAGTTAATCAATATTCCGGGAAGTATAGTATTAATTAATATTGATTTTATGTGTAAGTGATAATTAGTCTGATGCATTTGGGGGGGGGGGGGCTAGGAAGAAATTGTCAAAGCTGTCTGTCGACTAGCCGTGTGATAAGGTGATAATTATATACGTCCTTGTCACAAGTTAAGCTACTTCTGATGTGAATCAACCTTCTACATCTGTTTCAATGCATATGCATACATATACACAGAGGTAACCTCGGTGGGCTTGTGAATGGGTAGTTCTGAGGTATCCCTTGCTAATGGGAAGGGGTAACTATCCATTGCTTCTAGGTTTCCAATGGCTCCCCAAATGATGTCAGTCTATCATGGACACTGTCTTGAAATAAACAGAATTCCTATGCACCTCAAACTGCATAATTATTGTGTAGTGTTCATTAGCGAATTGTGAAGTCAACCAGCCGGTAGTAAAGCGGATATCAATTGAAGACCATAGTGGATAGCTAAACTGTGCTGCAAATCGATAGAGGTAGGAAACTGTGGGCCACTAAACTCAAATGAAGTAGCTGGATGGTCAACGCGTTCACCACAATACCTGAAGGTCGTGAGTTGTGTATGAGTATTGCTGAAGAGTCCCATACTAGTGGGACGAAACAGCTGTTTAATGATCACAGGTTTTCAGTGGGTCCTCAACCAATGTCAGTCTATGATGAATTCTTACACTAACTGTCATGAGAGATATACATTAGTGATCAATATAATTATTCATTAATATATTTTTGAAATGAATCCATGACCCGGCCAGGGCTCGAGCTCAAGGCCTTTATGTCTCACGGAGAATGTGTTAACCATTCAGTCACTGGGTTGGTTTTCAATGGTTCACAGTTTCCAACTTCTGTCAATTCCCTACGGAACCTGAGTGCGATCCCCGGTCGGAATGTAGGTGCTTACTGCTGAATAGTCCCATACTGGAAATGTGTTTCGTTATTGTATGGGACCCCTCAGCAGTACGCAACTATTACTCCACTGGGGACACATGTGTGCGTACTACTGAGGTGAAACAGTTGTCCAGTGCTCTAAGATTTTCAATGGTTCCCCAACTGATGTCCATGCGTAATGAGTACTGTCTCTAAATTAAAATCCTCATTCATCTCAAAAATAATAATTTGTTCAAATGAGAAAAAAGGATGAAAAATTAGATCATTAAATGAAGAGTGGGATTAATTGGTTTGTGTCTAATGTAGCCTTTTGTTCATTGATGTGAGGACCAAAGGATGCTCTTTTTCTCTTCATCATAATGATAAACTATTTCCTTTGAAAACCAACGTTGTGTTCTAGGCAAATTTGGTTATTGGATTGATGGGTATATTAAGCATGGAGTGACTTTAAAGGTCATCCAACAACTGCTGAAATGACCAATCAGGTTTCAGTAATTTAACATGGAAGGTCGTTTTACAAAATATATAATTGGTGAACTCACTAGTTGTTAGAGTGACCTATAAAGTCATGTTAATACACCAAATGAATGGTTTTTCCAAACGGAAAACGGCTGCCGATAAAGTATTTAAAGATTAGATACGCCTACATTGAGAATTTTTAATTGTTGATTCCCTCAGTTGCTAATCAAAACGTATCTAGGTATTTTTTGTTTTGAAGACTGAAGGTCAACTGTCATGAAACTATCTTACAAGTGAAGTTGAATAGAATCTCTGAGGCTCAGTGTATTTCAGCTAAATATGTAAGTATGTACAACTGACGAGTACAAGCAACTACGAAATCAAGGTTGATCACTGTCATACGGTATCTAGATGACAAGCCTCTCATCATCTTGATCAAACTGTAAACTTAATTGATAGGCTTAGTTTAACGCTTAAGATTCGCCAAGAAGGCATCAATTATGGCACAACGATAGGAATTTCACAATCTTCGATTTACAGTAATCAGAAGACAAAATGATAAGAAGCTGATTACCATGGTGACCGCCAGTTAAATCACTATCATATACTCTTTCAATTTAAGTGACTTGATTTTAGATAGATTTGTTGAAGTTCTAGTGGAAACAATCAACCAATTCGGGTACGGGGATAAATACTCACTAATGGGATTGATTGACTAATACCGGTGCCATATTTTAGGAGTAAGGAAATATGGACCGATGGATGCCAAATGAGTGACTGAATGTTAAAATGTTCACAATGAGATATGATGGTCATTGGTTCCAACTTCTGAGGATTTCCATACAACGAAGAAACAGGTATACTTCGAGATTTCTAACGGTTCTTCAGCTGATGATATCTTTTGAAGGTAAGTGTAGTTTATGTATGGTAGTCTCAACATCCATCACAGATCAATAAGTAGGATAATTCATCCAACAAAGTTGCTTCTTTCCAATAATTTCACTATTTGAACTCATGTTACAGTGAATTAAAGCTTCATAGTTATTAAGTGTGCATTATTATATTATTATATGTCCCTTGGGTTCATAGTGGAACATACCACTTCAGTAACACGTCTCCATTACACTCTCTTCTCTGCAATCTCTTCAACCTGGCTCCACCACTGCCCACAAGCTCTCATTTCTTCCTCACACCATCTCCTCCATATCACCCTCACCTCAAACACCCTACTCGTCGTTTCCCATCTGGGTCCCACTCGAGTGCCTGGCCTGGCCTCGTCTGGCCTGACACGTGATGTCACCGAATGGTCTTCTCAGTGTATGCACAATCCATCTCCACTCTCTTCTTCTGCATATCTGTTGGGTGATAGATTCTTGCTTAGTTGGTTGGTTGGTTGGTTGGTTGGTTGGTTGGTTGCCAGCCAGCCAGCCAGCCAGCCAGCCAGCCAGCCAGCCAGCCAGCCAGCCAGCCAGCCAGCCAGCCAGCCAGCCAGCCAGCCAGCCAGCCAGCCAGCCAGCCAGCCAGCCAGCCAGCCAGCCAGCCAGCCAGCCAGCCAGCCAGCCAGCCAGCCAGCCAGCCAGCCAGCCAGCCAGCCAGCCAGCCAGCCAGCCAGCCAGCCAGCCAGCCAGCCAGCCAGCCAGCCAGCCAGCCAGCCAGCCAGCCAGCCAGCCAGCCAGCCACACTTCCTTCTTGCTTATTCTTATTATTCTGGCCATCTGATGTTCAGTATAATTTATTTGATAACGGTTAACAGCGGGATTCAAGCCGTTTGTTTCCTTCTATTTAAGACTTGTCAGCTGAATGTATCTACATCCTGGAAGGTGATATTGTTCCCACTGAGACGCGAACCCGGTACCCACAGCTTCAAACGTCAAAGCGTGCCTCGTACCTCGGTGGACTAGTGAATAACGCTATAGCGTTTGAAATGACTGGTCATGGGTTCGAGTCTTAGTGAAAATAATATCACTCTCCGGGATATGGGTATATCCAGCTGGTGAGTCCCAGGTGGGACGAAACCCTTGTCCTAGATTCTACTGTTAACCACCCCCAAGGAAACTATAACAATAAATATCCAGGCTGTATCGAGATATCTGCATAGGAGCACGTCTCTCAGCAAAAGATCAATCATTTCGATCCAGAATAACAGCGGGAATCACAAGTATCAATAAATAATAGAAGTCAACAATTTAAGTCATTAGTCAATGGTGTATAAAGTTTTAGACTTCAATGTTTGAACTGTGCTACCATGTAGATAAGATGGTCTCAGTACTAGTCTGGCGAAACCACCATGTAGTCGTTACTATGATATTTCTATTACCAGTCATCATAAGTGTAGGGGATACTTTTTTGCTGGTAGAGTGCAGTTAAAACACTTTTAATATACTTTATCCATCTACTGATATGTAGTAGATCAGTATGCATAACTGTGCGACAGTTGGTTCATCCCAGTGATACCAGGGTGGTTACTGTGAAGCTGTTTCAGTACCTAGTAGTGACATTATGGATCCACAAACCATAATGGATAGTCGCGGTGATAGTATTATCTTAGATTGCCAATAGTATAAAGTCAGTTAGTAGGAAACGTGGATCCGCCTTGGTTAGCTACTTGTTGAAACTCGCCGTAACGTCTGTCAGTAATCATGACGAAACTCGTATTCGATTTGTGTTTCGAATATGCATCATTCATAACTCATGTCAGAAACTTAGTCACCAAGCCACTCAGGTCAAGACTGACTTTCTATCAGGTTGAAATGTGTGTATGAGCTACTCCCTAGTGAAGAGCCAACGTAGCTGTCTATTCAATAATGGTGCTCAGCAATGATGAAATTATACGTGTCAAGATTCAAAATGTGGTCACAGCATAAGTGATTCGACAGTGTGGTGCGCATGATCATCAACAATAAACCATGATTAAGGCAAAAATGGAGAAGAAATGAAGACTAATCAATATTCTTTTACCCTGATAGCCATCATTAACATCACTACTACTACTAATCACACTACTACTACTACTACTACTACTACTACTACTACTACTACTACTACTACTACTACTACTCACAACACTACTACTACTATTACTACTACTACTACTACTACTACTACTACTACTACTACTACTACTACTACTACTACTACTACTACTACTACTACTAAGACTACTATTATTATCGTCATTATTGTTATTATGATTATTACCGTCAACTGCGCAGCGTATCTACGCAAGTCACCGGGGCCTGAATCGTAGTAAACCTGCCACTCCTATTAACTGCTGTTCTTATTTTGGTTCTGTTTATCGCTCTAGTTGGTTATTATTGCATGTCATTAGCGTTATCACCTTGTAACATGGTGATAATATTATTATCGTGGTGCAACTATGCCTCGTTCCGCATACACACACACGCACACACGCACATACAAATACATGACGATTTCCTATAGATTCTATTCTCTCTGTCTCTTTCTCTTTTTCAATAACTTTCTTTGTTATCTGTTTATCAGCTTTTCTGATCCCTATTGATTCTCAATAGGAAGTGAAAATTATCAATAGAGAATGGAAAGAGAATAAATAATTCAAGAGGAGAAAAGTGTAGTCAAAAACTGATATTTTTAGTAGGATTTGCTAAGATAATATTTTTATTGCATAAAATTTCTTCGCCACGATGTTTTTATCTCATTGATGATGAAATGGTGGTTGTAGTTGTCATGATAACCGTTGACAGATCACCTTACAGGAAGATATCGATCCATGATGAAAATTGTATATTAAATCAATCAATTTTTGTAAAAAAAATTCATTTGAGTGACATTCATGTATATATTAGTGACTTGTTTCGAGATGGATTGTTGGAAGTTCTAGGGAGAAATTGTAACCAGTGCGGTTAACCAGGTTTTGCAGTGAAGATGGTTCACAGTCGATGCTAATGAATTGGAAACGGTATCCTATTCAATTCAAACCCAGTATTTGAATCTAAACATTGTCATCATGAGACCTCATGGTCGGGGACTTGTTCCCTCATGAGATCGTGAATGTGCACTGCTGATGTGTCACAGATTAGGACGAAGCAGCTGCTCAATGCCCTGTGAAGAATACAACTATTGAAAACCTAAACAGATGTTTCACTCTGTTATGGGACATCTCAGGAGTGTTCACGCAAGACTTTGCAAAGGAACGTAGCATAATTGCCTGCTTTCATGGTGAGTTACTTACTATTAAGCCAAAATGCAACGGTTCACAGTTCCTTACCTGTGTCAACTGATGATATGCCGTGACCATCATCTTTACTGCTGCTTACTTCGTTACTAACTATGATACTTATCACCTTGATAATACAACAAAATGTGAATCCCCCTAACACTGCAACAATGGAATAATCAACAATAGTCAGAATGAATTTTGTCATAACTTCGTCCAGTTGCAACTGCCTCAAGCACGCTATTCAGCCAAATCAGTCCCAATGTCGACCTTGAAGGTGATTAGTCTTGCCTATACTTGCCCAATCATGAACATCTAATTCACCCACACGATGAGCTACTCAACTTGGCCTTATCAACCGTTTACAACATAACCCAAAGTCTGATGCTGATTGGCCGTATGTACCAGACGATCTGATTTACCTGGATATACAACTAAACTTTATTATTATTTGTCTTTTGGGTTCTTAGTCGAACATAGGGATTCATTAGCACGTAGCCATTTCACTCTATTCTCTTCAGTCTTTTCAACCTGGCTCCACCACTGCCCATAAACTTTCATTTCTTCCTCACACAATCTCCTATATGTCACACTCGCATCGGACACCCAGCTCGTCGTTTCCCATTTGGCTTCCACTCGATGGACTGGTGCATCATGTCCTCAAACAGTCTATTCCCTCTATGTCCAATCCAATAATCCATACCCACCTCCTACTTCTGCATATTTCTTGGGTGATTGGTTCTTGGTCTGTTGGTTCGTTGCCAGCCAGCCAACCACAGCTCCTTCTCACTTATTCTCATTATTCTGACCATCTCATCTTCACTGTCAATATCGAGTGAGTGTAGGCCACAGCTATTGATGATATATGATGTATGCACTTTGTTGCAAATGCTTTTCGTAATGCACCACCAACTCTCTCAACCATCACATAGAAACACTGACTGACTGACTGACTGACTGACTGACTGACTGACTGACTGACTGACTGAGTGTTCAAAATCCGTATGTTGTTCATGCCTTATGCTGAGTGCAGTGCAGGGGAGTGCAGTCCAGTGCAGTGCAGTATCGTGTCGTGTCGTGTCGTGTAGATGTCCACACTGATTATTTCAGATGAATGCAGGAAAACCTGTTCTGTTGTCTTTCCCATCCAGACTTTGACATCATCATCTGTGCCTGTGCCTGTGCCGCCGCCACCGCCACCACTACAACCGCCTGAAGTTGAGACGAGGCTACCTGTCTATGTAGGTAGGTAGGTAGGTAGGTGGGTGGGTGGGTATGTGAGAGAGACTACTTCCTTCAGGCTTCTCCCGTTCATGGTGATTGGTGCTTGTTGTTGTCGTTGTTGTTCGGGTGTCTTCGTCACATCTATCTCTGTCTTCTCTACGTTCACCTGAAGCAAGTCCCGTCTTCCTTCGCTGCCTCACCTCGACTCGTCTCTTTTACCAAGTTGTTAGTTTCCGCCTACACATCTTCGAGTATGTAAGACATAAGACATTAGACATAAATCATCATCGTTGGCGAAATCCAAATCTTCTTCTAGGGTATTTTCATCGTATCTATCAAACAGCGTATGCGCATCTTCTCACAGTTGTCTGTTGCATGATCCAGTTCAGTCTAGTCGAGACGACCACAATCAGGAATATGACCGGTGATAGTCAGCACCAACCTTGTCTTGTCTAACTACCTCCTGTCTTCACTTAGAAGACATCAGTGAGCTGAGCTTTCCATTATGGATCACTTGAATGACGTTGGTATACAAGTAAACTATCAGACCATAACGCACCATAATTTACAAAGATGAAACAACCGATTTCCAGAACAAAAAGGTGGGACAGTGCACAATAATGGATCGATTTTACCTAACATGCGGTTATAAATGGATAGGGGATCAATCGAAAGCCCTAGAACTGAGCTTTACAAAATAACATCAGCAGTTGCGTCACATTGGAGATAACTTTTACACTTTCCATTTGTCGGCTGATATAGCAAACTTCGTTAACAATTGTTTTCTCTTCATTAACGTGATTATCAATAAGTTATAACATGACGGACAAGTGTGTTAAACATAAATATGAAACTCGAGTGTTTTTCTTCGCCTTCTTATCTTATTCATCTGATAACTAGAACTATAATTACACCAATAACAAGGGCCTAACAAGTAAATAAACACACAGGAGTTAACATCTTGTTATGTCATCAGTGTCGTCAGCTGACACTTGAATCAAAACGCGCCTTCAGTTCAATGTCACATGTTATGAAAGAGTGTTTCATGTCCCATTTTACATCTAGATTTGTTAGTATGCACACATGTATGCACACAAACACAAACATGGGTAAGTAAGTATGTGCAAATCTGAATTGAAGACAAAGTGTCTTTTTTCGATCAGTTTTAAACAGGAAGTCCTTAAAACATGCGATTTATCAGCTGATCTACAATCAATATCTGTACCGTTCTCCTCTACACGTTTATATATTTTTATTTAAGAAAAATCAATAGGACTGATTCTAAGGTTGCATTTTAATGACAGGTTAAATTCTACTGTTTCTCTTTCGCCTATTGGTTGACGAGATCTGGGGGAGGGGAAGGGGTTGGGTAAACGACAACACAGCTTCTTTTCCCCGATTTATGTCCTTTGGAAAGTGAATGGGTTTCATTGTTCCCTGATGGGTTTTGATCACCGCGACAACAATAATAATAATAATGTATAGTGTTATTGCTTGTATTACACCATCGTTAACTGGACCGAATCGATCAGTCTCTGTTGGCATATGGGCTCCTATGCGGATGCTTCGATATTGCCTGTCTTTTAACTATGTTTAGTAATGAATGGGATGTAATACAAGCAATCATGCTAAACCCATACCCGTCGCACAAGAAGTGGCTATCGTGGCTCGGTGGTCTAGTGGATAACGTGCTGGTGTTTGAAGCGATCGCTCCCAAGACCAAATCCCGGTGGGAACAACATGACTCACTGGGAAGCAGGAACATCCAGCTGACTAGTGAGTCTCAAATAGGACGAAATGCGCATACTGGATTCCACTGCTAGCCACTGCCCATCATTACTAAATAATAATGTATGTATTAACATGAATGGGGATTTTAATTTAGGGGTAGTATTTATCATGGACTGAAACGTATCTGAGATATCTTAAGTATGACACAATCAATGTCATTATTGGATATAGTATGTACTACTTAACGGCTCAGTTGGTTAGACTTCCAATAATTCCATTAAAGTAGAAGGCAGTAAGATGAAACAGGAAAAGAGAATGTAATCAAAAGTTGTAGAGAGAGCTGTAAGAAAAGATAAAGACGAAATATGATATGATGATTAGGATGAAGATATTGTGTGGACACATCTGCACCACTGAGATCAATTCTGTTCCATTTCACATATTCTCCAACCATTGACTTCGACTTGGATTCTAACCTAGGCATCAACGTTTTCCTGTACAGCTCAGATTAAGCCAAAGACTTCGTTGACGGGTATGAATTTTTTTTGTCTGACCACCTTTGATCTCCTCCCAGCTAGAACACACTCCAACTGCCATTGTGCGATGAAGTAGACAATGAATAGGCATGAGTGACAAGTGTGCCAGTCACCTCACTGTATGAAGGATTACAGCTTCAACAAGTGGCGTAAATCTTTTACCTAAAACTTTAACTTTGTTACTGACGTGGTGATACAGAATATGTCACGAAGGCTACTCATGGTCGAATGCCTGAAGCTTTCTGATGTTCTACGCCTTTAATGACCATGTTACACACCTATATAATAAAGACCGAACTGCTGTGAAGTACACTTTACTTTTAATAAACAAGCAAATATTTCACCGGTGCCAGTAAAAGCTAACTGAACCTTTTGTATCCTCGCGTAAATTTTGTCGGGTTTATGATGCCTCAGGTATGATCAAACTTCCCAAATAACCGAAGTAGTCAACGCTACTGATACACACCATTCGTGAAGTGACAGTTTGCTTTCATCTAGTGAGAAATGCATCGTAAACACTACCAAACTATCACTTGATGACTCAATAAAACTCTACATCTT